CACACACACACACACACACACACACACACACACACACACACACACACTGCTAAAAAAATGGCATGATCCTAGAGCAGAAACAGAGATAATATTATCCATTATCCTTTCCTAAGTGGTCACGTTCATGTTTTTGTTTTTGTTCTATTTGTTTGTTTGTTTGTTTGTCTTTTGCTGGGGTAATGGGAAGAAAAAAAGAAAAGAAAAAGTGGTGTTTCAGAGACATAATAAAATGAATCTTATATACATACAACTTTAAAAAAATTTTAAATATATTTTAGGGAGAGACAGAGAGAGCATGAGTGGGAGGGGCAATGGGAGAGGGAGAGAGAATTTGAGGCAGACTGAGCACAAGCTGGATGTGGGGCTCGATCTCACGCCACTGAGATCAGGACCTGAGCCAAAACCAAGAGTCAGACAAAATGCACTGCGCCACTGAGGAGCCCCTATATAACTATTATACTATTTTACTACCCATCATTTAATTTTAATCTTTACATCACTCCAAAAGTAGCTTGGCAAATATCAATATATTCATTGGATAATGAGGAAATGGAGCCATGAAGATGTATCATCTTGCCCAAGGAAAATGAGATAATTAGTGACAGGATTGGAATTAGATTTGGTGACCATGTTTCCTATCTTCTAGCTCAGTGTGCTTCTCACCAGCCCAATGTTTCCCAAGCTTCAATCACCTGCATATCACCTGAGAAATTTTTGCCAGCCACGTACAACTTTTTGTTTACTGAAAAGCTTTCTTTAAATCAACATACCTTTGTCCTTAAATAAGTTTATTTAAAAAGTAACTTTCTGTTGCTACCAAACCAAAAAGCTGGTATTACTTGGCATAAATAGGTTACTTACCGTAAGAACAAGAAACAACAAATCAGTGTTATTAAATTATAGCTAGGTACCGTTTGTTTGCAAAAGGCATTGACTCTCATGGTTGACTTTTTCTCAGTTACAAACGAGATTCATAATTAAGAGAGGTGTGAGAAGCTCACTAGCACCAGATGGAGGCTTTTTTTTTTCTTTCTTTTCTGGGAATAATCGGAATTGAGACAGAATTAGGAAAAGAATCATTTTCTTACAATGAATTTCTGGATCCTACACACCTAGATCTACTTAAGTTTCATGAGAGATACCTGTCCCATGGATTGGGAGTTCCTGCACTAAGCCCAGACTTCTCAGAGAGGAGCGGCAACAGAAGGCAGTCCCCTGAATGGGTTGGAATTTGCCCAGCATTCTACACCCCTTTGTCCTCGGTCAGGCTAACTAACCACAACCAGCCAACCCACTATCCCAGCGTACTGTACAGATCTTTTCATTTTCTCTAGGTAGTAATGAGTTAGTTTATCCTGATTCAAATCCATTTCCAAATTCTCCAACTGTAGAATTCATTGCAGCTTCTCAAAATGATATGTGATCAACACACAAAGCTTAGTACATAAGGGAGTGCCCAGTAAGCTATTTTCTGAATCCAAATTCAAACAAGGCCAACTCCTTAATCTGTATTCACAGACACATGATAGCACTGGATGGTGTGATTCCTTAATTTATATTCACAGAAAAAGTAAAGCATTGGGTAGTGTTATTTGTTAAGTAATTCCATCCTTTGAAATGTGGTATTAGTCTTGAATATATCTGTTGACTTGACATAGAATGAACTTTAAAAGAATACATACATTTATTTTTTATACAATTATACATTCATATTTTTACTTTTAATGTTATCTATGTATCAGGTTTATGTAAATTGATGGCCACTTTCAAAAGGTGCTTTGGCACTATGAATCAAAGAGCACTTCCCTGTTAACTTTTCAGAAAAAAAGTCTCATGTGAGAATTGCAATCTAAAAGAACTTTAAAACTTTTTTAACTTAAATTTTCATGAAGATTTAGCTCCAGAATGGACCTTAAGGGACATCTTCTTCAATCTGATCATTTAATAAATGGGGGAAAGGGCGCCTGGGTGGCTCAGTTGGTTAAGCGACTGCCTTCGGCTCAGGTCATGATCCCGGAGTCCCGGGATCGAGTCCCACATCAAGCTCCCTGCTCAGCAAAGGAGCCTGCTTCTCCCTCTGACCCTCCCGCCTCTCATGTACTCTCTCTCTCTCTCTCTCTCTCAAATAAATAAATAAATCTTAAAAAAAATGGGGGAGAAAAGAGGTTAAAGGAGTAGTTATGGCTTGCTCAAGTCCACAGGCTTGAAACAGAACTCATGTCCTTTTCACGTGGTCCGATGTCCTTACCAATTAATGACACTGCCTTTTCTCTTAAGAAACAATGAAGAGCAGACAGCAGGTTGTAGTTCAAAGGAATGTTAGCCCAGACGACAATAAATATCTCTGAATTCTTTGTTTTATTCAGTTTTGCTTATTCATCAATTAGCTTTAGCTACCGAGCTAAGGCTATGAAAAAAGAAAAAAGAAAAAAAGAAAAAAGAAAAAAATTTCCTGGCCTTGGTCAGCATTTTACACACTCACTGAATGAATACTCTGCAATGTATACTCATTTGTAAAAGTATATGACTACAATTCATACATCACATTACATTGAATTGACCAGGTCACCGTAAGTAACTCCCCAATTTTGGTCTGTTTCTACATCTTTTTCTACAGGGATTTCTTGATCTATTATTTAGTTTTGTCACAAGATTGTGAAACAGTAAAGTGTCCTCTCCGTTATTAATGAAAGCAGAATCCTGTTATTTCACTCAAGAATATGTAAACAACTTTTTTTCTGAACTGACTTCCATTTTCTTGGAATTTTTTATATATGCAAATTGCCAAAATAAGACTTATTGGCACTCATTTGCTTTTTGACAGTTTAACACAACTTCAGAGTTTCAGAGCATTTCAAGGTGGCTAAGCAAAGGAATCCCAGTTGGAGGACAATAATGGTTGCCTGCATCTAGATCCAAGGTTACATCTGTTGGGGAAGGTCACGGAGAAGAAACGATGTGATCATTGGTTGATCCATTAGCTGCACCTGAGCAATTGGAGGCTCCTCACCTCCTCCCCTGTCCTTGGAATGTGGGCTCCCCTTGCTTTCCCCATTCCCAGAAGCTGCTGCAAGGACACAGCCTTGGGATAATGATGTGGTGATGAGACTGTCTGGATGGTATACATGACTGAACCCAGTTAAGACTTCTATAGAAACCTTTAAGATTTGGCAATGAGATCTACTCATTTCACTGCTGCCTAAGACAAGCCTTATATATAAGTTCC